ATAATACTATAATTCATAGAGAACAAAAGATAAAGTAATAAGTCCTAAATTAGTCTTCATACTCTTATAAAGACTCATATCAATCTTATGAAAATTATAAACTCCATCGTAAACAACATAGGTATTAGCTTTGGAAAGAAGCTGAACAAGTGTGTCTTCATAATATGAATTAGACATTATTATTCTAAGTTTATCAAAATAGTAAGCTAAATAGCAGCCTTTATTTTCTAAATTCTATTGATTGCATCATAAATTTAGGTGTTTTATTATTTGAGTGATGACATAATATTTATTGCTTTATATGTTGTGTTGCAGTTTATGGCTAGTTAAGAAATGCTTCCATTTAATTTTGAAATTTCAGATAAACCAAAACATAATGCAAAGTGGGATTTGGTCACTACTAAAATCTTACTTCAAGTTTGTACGAATGAGATTCATAAGTGTGCAAAACCAAGAATTTCATTTAGAACTAAAAGATAGGAAGTTGTAATACAAGAATTTAATACTAGTGCTAATAAAAACTATACCCAAAAGCAATTGAAAAATAGACTAGATAGTCTAAGGAATGAGTGGACTTTATGGAAACAATTGAAGGGTAAAGAAACAGGTTTGGGTTGGAACCATGAGACAGGAACCATTGAAGCTGATGGCACATAGTGGGAAGCCAAAATAAAAGTAAGTATTTTAAATTTTATATGTTTCATCTACTATAAATTAGTTTACATATGTACCTTGTTTAAAAGTTTTTTTTTTTTATGTTTGTGTAGGTCAATCCAAAATATGCCAGATTTCGGTATCAAGGGTTGGAACATACTGATGAATTGAAATTTATATTTGGGGATACAGTAGCCACTAGTCAAAATGCATGGACACCAGCGATGGGTGTACCAATTGAAGATAATGTTAGATCTTCAGTACAAGGCAGTGGTGAATTTGATACTGAAGAATTCAATTGTGATGAAGATGACGGCCCTATAGTAAACACTTAATTCTAGAGAAAAAAATAGTGTCAAAAGAAATGGAAAAAAAATGGCAAAGGGTAAGGCAAA